ATAAAATAAAGTAAAATAAAATCAGCATCGGCATTGTCTTTTCTTCTTGAGGTACACACACATACATACACAAAACACAACAAAGAAAACAACTCATCTTGTCACTTTAACATTGAGCACTTAAAACAAAAAGTGTCATAATTTTAAGAAAATTTAAGACGGACACAGAATTATAATTCAGTCACAATTCCTAAGAATTCATAGCAGACCTGACTTTGATCTTCATACAGACACATATTAATCCACAATAAACGTAAATCCTCATCTGCCTGATCTTGAATTATGTATTATCCATCCTGTGCTTTCACATATTTAATTCCAAGAACAAAAAGGCTATTAAAATAACATTTCATTATCCTCCAAGGTGGAATTCTACTTTCACCCAGGAATGTATTTGATTTATACACCAGTACCCCAGGCAGATCAGGTCCCCCTGCCCAACTCCATGGGTACAGCCTTGAATTAAACTTGAGTAAGTTATGAAAAGAATATTTAATAAATAAACCACATTGAACCCAAATGTTATATTTAGGCTTCAGTGTATTTTATTAAGAGCTGTAACATTTGTGAATAGATTTTCATATATCTATAACAACTATACAAAGAGCCTCTGTGCCAGGTCAGTGGCCACATCTTTCAAACTCCCTCGTTTGTAACACATGCTTACAAAGGTGTGGTCTCCAAACCCACATTGAGACTCCTCACAGCTCCTCCAGAGCCACAGAAGATATTATACGACTGTATTCACATGCTCCAGTCGTACATTTCATGACTGGTGAACTGACTGTGTGTAAAACCTTTTAAGTTCCCCTTAATGTTGTTTCGTTGCTCAGATAATCAGAAACAGTGACAGGCTGTGTTGTTTCTTCTAACTCATTTATTAAAAGATTCTTTTTTTACATAGTGTTAAATACAATCTCTCAAGAGACCAGAGGTCTGAAAGCAGATGAGAAGAAACATACGTGAGATCAGTTTGATTTAACGTCCTTTCAGCAGACAAATACAATATATCACTCTGTCATTACTTTAAAACTCAACTGAGCTCAGTTACCAACCTGCAGCTGTAAAAAATAAAGAATAAATCAGAGGAAATGTCTTTTATTTCATAGCATTTCTGTGCAAAACAAGGAGAATCAGGACCCAGAGCCCATGTGTCAGCAGCTTGGCCCATCCTTACACTGAAGGCCATAGAACAAACATCTTTTAACATCCGAGCTTTCCATCAGGATGCTCACGGTGCATTTCTGGTGTGTAAGTCAAGAGTACAATCATGACCCACAGGTGCAGTGCCGCCTGTAAAAAGAAGCCAGAGTGTTGTTAACTGTTTGTATCAATAACAGTTCATTGAAAAGGTAAAATGTGACACACTTTCAGACACTCACCATGTACAGGATAACAAAAACTCTGGCAATAGGGTAGCGCCTCAAGAAGATGCCCAGTCTGATGCTGAAATAACAATTTTCCATTTATCACTGAGGATGATATCTCACACATCATCAGACACACAGACACAGTGTCATTACAGAACAGTAACGGTGAGGAAAATGTTACCTGAAACGGTCGATGGTACTGGCTGCCTTGCGTACTTTGCCGTACATTCCCGGGCTCTCCTGATCACTGAAAAGTACTGGTGCGTTTCTTTGTCGTGCCCCTGGAAATTCAAAACGCAGAAAACAAGGTCATTAAGAAGTTAACGGTGGACTCAGAATAAAATCTGATCAACTACTGAGTCTGATAATAAAACAAAAAGGGATACATCCAGTTTTAAAGGGAAACTTCTGTATTTTCCGGCCTGGACTCTATTTATCAATGTTTTTGTGTCTAAGTAACTGATGGAGACGACATTTTTTGAATTTGGTTCAGCAGTACATGAGACTGCTGCAGCTGGCAGCAGCGAAACAGGCTGCAATGTAACAATAATGGGCAACGTGCAACGTTATTTACATCCACTAAAAGTGCTTGTTTTGTCACTGACAGGCTCAGATTGTTATTTGAAATATCTGACAACTTATAGGAAGGATCCCTACAGAGATAGACCTTTTAATTAAAGAGTAAGATCCATTTTCTAACCAGAAACAGCCCTGAAATAACCATGGCCAAACACGCCAGACTACATTTAAATAAACAGTAGTTTTATCATTGTAAAACACACTTCTTTTAAAAGTTGACAAACAAAATAAATCTCACAAAAACCATCCTGGTTCATCTTTCCACTGTTTAAACAATCACCATCTTTGGTTTGGTTGAAATAAACCTTAAATTCACTCAGTTAGATGTGGAAATACGCTGACTCTATACACACTAAAATTGCTGTTTATTGAAATGGAGTCTGGTGGAATTGGGATGGCAATTTCAGGGCTGAAAAAAGATCTTACTCTTTAACAAAGAGGTCTATCTCTGTAGGGATCCTTTCCAAAATCAGACACTTAGAATAACAATCTGAGCCTGTCACTGGCAAAAACAAACACCTTTAGTGGACATACATTTACAGTGTGAACATGGCCCAAGTGGTTACACTGCAGCCTGTTTCACGGCTGCCAGCTGCAGCGCTCTTATTCAATACTGGACTAATTCAAAATTCAATTTCAATTCAAAAATTGTTGACTCCAAACATGGGAAAACAGGGTCCAGGTTGAAAAATAGCAATGTTACAATTTAAATTTATGTGCTGTTATATTCCATCATTTTTGCATCTATATTAAGCAGACCAGGATATTAATGTTGTGTTCACACCAAACACACTTGCATGAGTTTAAATGCTAAAATATTTTGTCTTGACTCGCTTCATACATGCGTCATACATGTGTGAAATCACTGAATCAATGAATGAACTTCATCAGTAGGTCATCTGTGTCATGCGTCCCCAGAGGATCTGAGTGCTGATTGGCTATCGTGGCGTGAATTGGTTGCTGAAGTTGAAAAAGCGTATGAGCGTAATTGCGCAATTTGCTTAATTCACACTACTTCATTTGCATCGTGTCCACTGCGCCCCTCTCGCCACCAGGCAGGAATTCACATCTAATCCCGTCTTTACACTGACTTTACATGTAATTCACTCACGCAAATTGTTCTATTCGTGCCCGGCATGAACACAACACAAAAGTTACTCCTAAAATAGAAAAACAGAAATGAAACAATTTGGCAGAAATAAACTGGATCAACTGTACCAACACGGTGAATCAGCAATTGTTGCTGCGGTAAACAAGACTTCTGCAAAAGACTGATTACAAAACTGAATTTCTTGAGTAAATCTTCATTTGTTCTTATCAAATATGTTCTCCATGTTGAAATGTCAGCTCCAACTACCTTGCTTGATGGTTTATCTTGTTTGCCTCAGCCTCATAAAAGTATTGAGAATATGAACAAGTTGGTGTTGAAAGGCAAAATCTGTATCACTGATCTTTAACAATCACCTGTGTTTAAAGAACAAAACCCTTTGACCTTCATCTAAGCCCCTCCTACCTGGTCCCTCCAGACCGCTCATGTTGATGGTCGGCCCTCCGCTCTGTCCTCCCTGAGTGTTCTTCAGCTGCTGCTCCAGACGCTCCAGCTGGAAGACCAGGGAGCTTTTCTCTGTGCCCAAAGCCTCCAGCATCGTCTGCTTCTGGATCAGCGTCTCCGTCAGTTGGTGGAGACGATTCTCCAGCTCTGTTTGGCTGCTGCTGCTGAGGGTCTTGTTGGTCAACTGGAAGAGAACACAATCAATACTGTATGACAAATGGCTAAATTTAACATGCTTGTTCCTGTCACACAGCAGATATTGACCAAGAAGCGGTGACCGCAGAGGAGGGCGCTGTGAAGGGACTGACCTGGTTCCTGAGTTTCTGGATTTCGTCTTCTCTGTCCTTGATTCTGCTCTGCAGGGTGCTTTTAGCTCGATGTTGCTCTTCCTCTAGATACTGCAGCTCCTGTGTTTCAAGAAAAACACAACAAACATCTCACATAAATTAAAAGACTGATCAGACATGCAAACACTACAAGTGTAGTTTCAGGACAAATATATCTGTGACAGTTTATACCTGTTTGTAGCGCTCGACCTCAGCCTCCACCTCCTGCTTAGCTCTGTTCTGTAAGGCCAGTTGCTCCTCCAGATGCTGCTGCTGCTCCCGCCATGTCTCCGCCTCTGTCAGAGCCTGATTCTCCAGATCCTGCCAGTTAAAACATATCTCACTTGTACAGCTGAGTCAACATCGCAGCTGCAGATCATAAATGTCGCTGCCGTATTCAAACAACACTCTCAAATCAAAGTTACTCAGAAAGCATTTGTTTGTGAGGGAGGTACACAGCGCCTCACATCACACAGATATATGTGCACTCCGAATTTTCACTTCCTCTATTCTATATTTTCTGCTGTTTAAAGCATCTCACCTGTATCTCTATTCGAAGCGTGTGCACTTGCCCCTGCAGTTTTTGGATGTCCTCCTTTTGCAGCTCCTTCTCGTGACGCAGGTCCTCCAGCTCCAGAGCCACGGCCCCGCTGCCGTCCACAGTCTCCAGACCAGACCCCTCCTTCAGACTGCTGATCAGCTTCTCTTTGGACTAGACCATTAAAAACATTATCAGCAACAGTGTGAGCTTATCAAGAAAGCCTATTATCAAAAAACAGAATCACAAAGGCAATCATAAACGAGTCTTACTTGTAGGATGCGTGAAGCTTTGTGCTTGTAGTCTTGTAACTCCTGTTTGGCAGACTCAGCTGCAGCTTTGGCACTTTTCAGTTGCTGTTGGACGTCGTCGACCTTAAGCTTCTCCTCTGCAGCTCGCCGCTCTGCTGCGGTCACCGTCTCTGCGAGGGTCTGCCTCTCAGCCTCCACTTTGGACAAGCGGCCAGCGTACTCACTCTACACAAGGACACAGAGTTAAGACGTCTTATCATCTGCATGTGTTCAGTTTGGACTTAGATGTCATATATAAAGGAAGGTGAATGGTTATCATGTGCACCTGCATCTGCCGGTAGCTGTCCTGTTCCCTCCTGAGGCCCAGTTCAGCCTCTCGCAGCCTCTCCTGTATCGTTTCAAGAGCTTTGGAGTGCAGGCTGCTTCCTTCTGTGTGGTCCTGCATAATTCTAGAAAAAACAGACAAGGAAAATAATAAACAAATTCATAATAAGCTGAATCTGATCTCTAAAAGGTGGTTGTGAGAGAGTACCTTGACTGTTCCTTCTGTGCCTCCTCTAATGCAGCATTGCGAGACTTCAACATCTGATCAGCTTCATCGAGTCTGATTTTTAGGACTGCAAGTTGACCGTCTTTGGCTGAGAGGGCTTCTGTTAGGTCATCAACCTTTGACCGAAGTTCCCGTACCATCCGGTTAGTCTGAGACTGCTCAGAGTTCCATTTGTCTGCACGCATGCGAGACTGGTTCAATTCTACATGAGCAGAAAACCACTTAGTTAATACAGAGGGAGAGGGGCAGACATGCAGGCCATCTTTCCTCCTGTTTGGTCTCGTCTCTTACCATCTTGTAAGTCTTTTGCCCTCTGGATGACTGAAGCCATCTCCTGGTTGAGGGAGGCCACCTCACTGCGCAGCAGCTGATTCTCCAGACGCAGGCTGGACAGGATCTGGCTCTGCGGCTCCTCTGTGGGAGGAGCAGCAGGAGGAGGAGGAAGCTCCTGCCTGATGGACTCTTGAGGGACAGCCAAGCCTGAGTCTGAACTCTCAGGTGTGTCTGTGGTGGCGAAAAAAGAACACGCTAAATGATCATTCCAATATGAACTGGACATACAATTTATTTAAATAAGGCAATATAAAGCTGGCTGCCTTTGGGAACTCTTATTTGTTGCACAGCTGTCCATCTACAGGTGGACAATAACATGTAATAGTAATAACAGAATAAAAGCTTGATAACCTATCAAAATATCATCTTTTGATATTAATATCACAATAAAGTACTTTGCATTTTCACTTACTTGCTGTACTTCAGTAAAATCCTGATTGACTGATTATTACTATCATTCTTAGGGATGCACGATAATATCGGCCGCATCAGTATCGGCCAATATCGGCTTTAAAATGAACTATCAGTATTGGTCAACATGCTTTTTCTTATTTTGCATGATGAATGAATATTACATACAGTACAGGCCAAAAGTTTGGACACACCTTCTCATTCAATGCGTTTTCTTTATTGTCATGACTATTTACATTGTAGATTCTCACTGAAGGCATCAAAACTATGAATGAACACATGTGGAGTTATGTACTTAACAAAAAAAGGTGAAATAACTGAAAACATGTTTTATATTCTAGTTTCTTCAAAATAGCCACCCTTTGCTCTGATTACTGCTTTGCACACTCTTGGCATTCTCTCCATGAGCTTCAAGAGGTAGTCACCTGAAATGGTTTTCCAACAGTCTTGAAGGAGTTCCCAGAGGTGTTTAGCACTTGTTGGCCCCTTTGCCTTCACTCTGCGGTCCAGCTCACCCCAAACCATCTCGATTGGGTTCAGGTCCGGTGACTGTGGAGGCCAGGTCATCTGCCGCAGCACTCCATCACTCTCCTTCTTGGTCAAATAGCCCTTACACAGCCTGGAGGTGTGTTTGGGGTCATTGTCCTGTTGAAAAATAAATGATCGTCCAACTAAACGCAAACCGGATGGGATGGCATGTCGCTGCAGGATGCTGTGGTAGCCATGCTGGTTCAGTGTGCCTTCAATTTTGAATAAATCCCCAACAGTGTCACCAGCAAAACACCCCCACACCATCACACCTCCTCCTCCATGCTTCACAGTGGGAACCAGGCATGTGGAATCCATCCGTTCACCTTTTCTGCGTCTCACAAAGACACGGCGGTTGGAACCAAAGATCTCAAATTTGGACTCATCAGACCAAAGCACAGATTTCCACTGGTCTAATGTCCATTCCTTGTGTTTCTTGGCCCAAACAAATCTCTTCTGCTTGTTGCCTCTCCTTAGCAGTGGTTTCCTAGCAGCTATTTGACCATGAAGGCCTGATTGGCGCAGTCTCCTCTTAACAGTTGTTCTAGAGATGGGTCTGCTGCTAGAACTCTGTGTGGCATTCATCTGGTCTCTGATCTGAGCTGCTGTTAACTTGCGATTTCTGAGGCTGGTGACTCGGATGAACTTATCCTCAGAAGCAGAGGTGACTCTTGGTCTTCCTTTCCTGGGTCGGTCCTCATGTGTGCCAGTTTCGTTGTAGCGCTTGATGGTTTTTGCGACTCCACTTGGGGACACATTTAAAGTTTTTGCAATTTTCCGGACTGACTGACCTTCATTTCTTAAAGTAATGATGGCCACTCGTTTTTCTTTAGTTAGCTGATTGGTTCTTGCCATAATATGAATTTTAACAGTTGTCCAATAGGGCTGTCGGCTGTGTATTAACCTGACTTCTGCACAACACAACTGATGGTCCCAACCCCATTGATAAAGCAAGAAATTCCACTAATTAACCCTGATAAGGCACACCTGTGAAGTGGAAACCATTTCAGGTGACTACCTCTTGAAGCTCATGGAGAGAATGCCAAGAGTGTGCAAAGCAGTAATCAGAGCAAAGGGTGGCTATTTTGAAGAAACTAGAATATAAAACATGTTTTCAGTTATTTCACCTTTTTTTGTTAAGTACATAACTCCACATGTGTTCATTCATAGTTTTGATGCCTTCAGTGAGAATCTACAATGTAAATAGTCATGACAATAAAGAAAACGCATTGAATGAGAAGGTGTGTCCAAACTTTTGGCCTGTACTGTATATTAAAAAGTATTCTATTTCATGTCTCCATCTGTTGGTGGGCCATCATGATAAGAGTATGCATGTATAATATGACGTTAATTCCACTACAGAAGAGACTTGACGATCACTAAAATTAGGTGGGGGAAAAGTGGATATATTGATATATCAGTATCGGTTATCGGTCAAATGAGTTGTTAGGTATCGGCGTATCCGCATATCGGCAAAAATTCCAATATCATGCATCCCTGATCATTTTGGGCACCTTAGGCATTTTAGCTATGTTGTCATATGAAATACTTTCACATTTTAAACAGGAAAGACAAACAGTCAACATACAGAAAACTCTAAACTTTAATTTGAGGGATAAGTTTAGTATCTTTCAGCCTGGACCCTATTTTCCCATGATTATGTGTCTTAAGTGACTGAGACAATTGATTTTGTATTAAGCAAGGGCACTGCAGCCGGCAGCTGCGAACATGCTGCAATGTAACCATTCAGGGCATTTTCACACCTGCTATTTACATACACTTAAGGTATCTGTTTGCTACTGACAGGCTCCGATTGTTATTCTGCTTGTTTGACAGCATTATGGAAAGGATCCCCACAAGACAGACCTTTTTGATAAAGAGTAAGATCATTTTTGTTTAGCCAGAAACAACCCCAAAATCGCTACTACCAAACACAACAGACTCCATTTAGATAAACAGTAATTTTATCATCGTAAATCATCAAAGTTAACGGAACCAAAAATACAAGAAAAAAATAAAACATTATTTCACCCAGTTAGATGTGAAAACATGCTGGCTCTATTCAGGCTAAAATAACTGTTTATTTAAATGGAGTGGGTTTGATGATAGCTTTTGCAGGGCTGTTTCTGGTTAAACAAAACGGATCCTCCTCTTTAACAAAATTGTCTATTTCTCTAGGGATTCTTTCTTTCATCCAGAAACTTACAACTGTAATATGTGTGGTCTTAATAATCGTACCTTGGCTTGGTTCTTTTGCAGAGCTCTCCTCTGATGTTTTGAGGCTGTGAGCAGACAGTGAGCTCATGCTTGAGGCCCTGGATACACCCCGGGTTGAGGGGGGCGTCGAAGGGGCCGATGGGATGGTATGAGGAATCGAGGAAGGAGGAGGTGTTGGGTTTTGGGCCTCAGTAACCGGAACTGCCACTTTCACAAGCTCTCTTCTCGAATCCCTCCTATTGCTGACTGGAGGCTCCGAGCTGTTCAGAAAGTCAAAGAGCAAGTCATCGTCTACATTCTGCTCGCTCTTTTTGGGCCTCACAAAGCCAGATGACACCTTGGCAGAGTTGGGAGCGCTGCTGCCAGAACCGGAGGAGGTACTGGGAATGTTGGCAGTGCCGGCCAGCAGGGTTGCACTGGATCTCTTGATGTTGCCAGCTGCTGCAGAGATGTAGCTCTGTGCATCATCAGAGGGTGCATAGGCATGATGAGTCCCAGCTGCATGGGCCTTGTACCCTGCAGTGTTGTATTCAGGTTTGGCAGTTGATTCTACTTCAAAAGGTGACGAAAAGGAGGTTGTTCTCTCCTGTTTTTTGGTCAGGGCGGTGGCAGCTCCCTGGTCCACTTTATTCAGGAAGTCTTCAGCTTTCCCAGCCAAGTCAGCAAACCAAGACATTTTGGGTCCTGATGGCAGAAACGTAAGAGCACAATTTGAAGATGGCTTTATTACTGACAGGTTCCAACACGCTTAGGTTGAGTTGACAAATAATATTCTTATTTAAGTTTAAACATATTACACAAGCCTTAACACCAGGGTTTACATGCCTTCTTAAACATCAAATTCAAGGACCCATTACTGCATAGTTGGAGAAACAGATCAAAGTTAATTACTGTTTAAACACTGAGATGTTTTCTAATGAGAACTAGCAGGCTTTACAGATGCTCACAGTCAATAAATACAAAGAGAGAGGCTTGAATGTGTCAACACTTCTCAATTGTGCTGTGTAGGTGGAGGCAGGTGGCGTGTGAAACAATGACGCAGCTGCAGGGGACACACATGCACACAGCACAACGTAGCCTATTTACTAAGATTGATAACAAAAATCTTTTTTCTTTCACTTTCATTGACTTATGCTTGCTTATCTTAATTTTAAAAACTTCGAGAGACCTTGATTTTCTTCCTCAAATTCAGAAACTTTTAAGGAGTTTAAGTAGGGCTGCGCATTAAATGGAAATATTATTGAAATTACAATATGGCCAAGAGCAATATCAAAATGCAGGTGCTGTAATTTATTGGTAAAGGTAAAATGATGATAAATGATGCATTATGTTGCTACAGTACAGAGGACTGGGCCTACAAAGCATATTCTTGAAGCAAGGGATCTTACTTGTTTGGTACAGACTCCAGCAAAATTCTCATCATTAATAGATTTATATTTTTTAGGTTTCTGTCAAAATAATTGCAAAATGATTTATTTTTTGCATATAGAGCAGCCCTAATTTGGAGGATCCATAGGAATCATTTATCCTCTGAAAGCATAATGTAGCAGAGGGTAATTTCAAAATAATTTGATAGTGTGACTTTCAAAATAATTCCAATAGCTAACAGCATCCCCTCCAGCCCACTCCTTCAAAAAACGAAGGGCAGAGATGGCTGAAAAGTCAGAGAGGTGACCAGGATGTCACCACTTTGATCCTCAGACCAACAGGGTAAATCTGGGCACAGGTAGCACTTGCCCCTCCCTCAAAACCACCATGGTGCCCTAATGCAAGGCCATTAACCCCTAGCTACTCAAGAAGAGCTGCTCAGTGCCCAACACATCATACTGTGGTTGAATGAGGCAGCTTCAGTGTGATCAGGGCGTTCCTGCAAAGACAACTTGGCTCTCAGCTGCTATTTAAGGTATGCTCTTATAAAGTCAATGAGTCATAATTGCTGCAAAGTAACAACATTGTTTCTGGGTAAATAAATGTGCAGTACACTGTAAATCTCGTAATATACTGAACTTATTACCAGTTACACAGGCTCGACATTTAACAGTTTACATTCATAATGACTGTAGCCTTGGACATCCCCATCAACAATGTGTTTATGAACATTTTTTGCCTTTAACACAAATATCTGGAGCATCAGGGAGCATGTGAATTACTCTGACTGGTGTGAAATAACCATTTATATTGTTAAAACAGCATCTATTGACTGTGCCTGGGCCTTATAATAGGCCATTTTCCAATCTGCGTCATGCATTATCCTGATTTAGGTAATTATTGTGCATCTAATTTGACATTATGACATTCATTAGGCAAAGGCTTTTGTAAAACGGCACTTACAGTAGGTGCATTCACACCACACTGGAGCACGAGCTATCCATTTTTAATAAACATGACATCATCAACTGATAGATAGTTAAAGTAAAGATTATATTAAAGCCATATCTAAAGTTAGGAAGGATCCAGTCTTTTATAAGCAGCCTGAGAGACTAGACTCAGGACTCAAACTCCCCAGTGACAACACAATATCTGCACAGCTAGCATGCTAGCTCAGTAACTCAACAGAGTCAAAGCAGCTAGCTAGTTATAATAATGACACTGTATTGCTATAAGTACAGATTCATACACATAAAGGAACAATTACAGGGGTCGTCATCAGCTGAGCTTACGTTATCACAAAGTAAACACAGTTGCTCCAGGATAACTCCATCACTGCTAAAGCTAACAGGCTAGCTGGCTGCTAAAGCAAAGGTTCACACGCACCGTTTGAAGCGACGTCCAAGTCTCAAAATGTCTCAGGTCATATGGCTACCGCCGGGGTTTCACTTGTGGGCATGAACGAGAAAAACCGTTTAAATAAACACGGCCAAATGTCATTATATGTCAAAGAGGATATTGGTGATCTTCTCATACGTGGACCAGGAAGCGCTGCCGAGCGAGGACCCCACAACAGAGTGACCTCACAGGAGCCTGATCACAAATCAACCGATGAACTTTGCAATATACATTATCCTGCTTGTTTGTGTCACCTTATGAATACAAATATAAGCAATGGTGAACAAATGTGATTAAGTATTCAGTCTTTTTTGTCACATAACAAGCAAATACTTTATCCACCGACTTTTCACCTTTAAAGTATTTGTTAGGGACTGTTCGTTACTTATTTGAGGGGAGGTGGTGGGGGACTTCTGTCTTTAATTTTGGGTTAGAGGAAGGAATACAAATGTAAATGGTTGTATTTTGTGTTTAGCAAAAAACAACTGTAAAAACAGAAATGCACTGTTGGATTTGTAAATTTCTGATGGTCCTTGAACATACTGTGTAGGAATAACCAGACAAACATAAACAAAGCTGAGCGTAAAATAGTGATATTTAATCAGAATCACTTTGCTTTACCTGTCTTTAAAAAATTAAAATAAAAAAAGATATATAAAAGGCACAAGAAAAAAAAACCTGAGGATGAAGTTTTTTGGTTTTTTTTGCATTTTGATAAAAAAAGTTGAATTGTCAAGATTTAGTTGAAATGTCAAGAATGAATTTGACACTTCAAGATTAAAGCTGAAATGCCAAAAATAAAGCCAAAATGTTGAGAATTAAGTTGAAATGTCAGGATTAAATTGGAAACATCAAGATTAAAGTCAAAATGTTGAAAATTAACATGACATCTCAAGAGTAATGTAGAAATTTTAAGAAAAAAAGTCGAAATACCAAAAATGAACTTGACATTTTGAGATTAAAGCTGAAATTTTGAAAATTAAAGCCAGTACTTTGAGAATTAAGTTGGAATGTCGAGACTGAACTTGAAACATCAAGATTAAATTTTAAAAAATTAACTTGACATCTGACGATTAAAGTCGAAATGTCGAGAATAAACTTAAAATTTCAAGAATAAAGTTGAAATGTCATGATTTAAGTCAAAATAAAGTCTAAATGTCAAGAATGAACTTAACATCTCAAGATTACAAATAGTGGCATTTGATAAGAATCACTGTTTTACATGTCTCATTTAAAATTTTGCTACAAGTAAATCATTTATACTAACTAACCAGCATGCAACAAGGGTGAAAAACCAAACCAGGATTTCATCTCCAGCTTTTAACTTTCAGATATCACAGGTCAAGTTTTAGAAATCCAACAACTAATTTATGGTGGAGGGAGGGTCATGCATTTTCCCCACGCCACTCGGGGAGGCTCAAAGAAAATATCTGCAGCTTCAGGAAGGGTTATAAATAGTCACACCCCAGCCATCCATGTCCTCTGTTAAGTAAAGAACAGTCCCTTGTTAAGAGTCATTAAATGGAATTATTAACAAAGGTACAAAAAGTGATTAATTGTTAAAGTAAATTTTCATACTGTTTTCAGCCTCTTGAATATGGACATTTCCTGAGTCTTTCTGTCCATATTGTTTCAAAGCGAATATTTTAGGGATTTGGACTAACAAAATGAGACATTTAAAGACATCACTTTGGAATTAAAGAAAATGGGATAAACATTTTTGAGTCTTAAATCTTTCAATCAGTTTATACACCAAATGATTTTTTGACTAATGCAGAAGATGATGGGCATATGAATCAATGATGAAAGGAATTGCAGTGAGGTACAGTTAAATTTAAATTGAGTAACAAAATAAATCCTAAATTAAAACAGAAACACACACAAAAGGTACCTAGTTACACTCACAGGAGTTACACGTAAAGGTAGTTCCATCTAAAAAATACAAAATAACAACCTCAGCAGGTGACTTGTGTTGTTGCAGTGTCACCTTTATATGTGTAAAGAAACAAACTGACTCAGAAGTTATGAAACAGTGCCTCTTTATTTTTTCCGCACTCACTCCAAAATGCATATTTACATGGCATGCCACATCAATACAGGAACTGACTATGGACACAATCGATAACACATAGAATCTGCTCTGGGAATTAAGGGCAGGGGAAGTTATCCCATGAACAACCAACCAAGAGATAACAGAAATAAAGAAACACTTTTATTACTCGGCCAGTCATAGAAAAGGGTTCCTCTTAAATCAGGTCATTTCAAAGACTTAAAAAGTGATAAATATCCAGTTGACATGAACCGAACATTTCACATCTGCCGTGGAGGGCAGGCTCGAGTCCGAGGTGGTGATCGTCTACACTCCACAAAAAAAGTCATGAGGCTGATGATCACACGTGTCGGGGGGGGGGGGATTTACAACAGTAATTCATCATTGGCGAGGACGAGCTGGTCGATTCTGTAAAATATCCAGTACAGTAATTTCAAAATGCCTCAGCAATCTAAGTCTTCTAAGATAGTGTCCGTACTCAGGGTCATAATCCGCAAGTGCTGCGTCCTTTCAGAAGAAGAAGAAGAGAAAAAAAAAAAAAAAAAAAAACCTGGACTCCAGACGACCCAAAAAAGGGGAAAAGACATTAAATACATAAAAAAAATATATGAGTTTGTGTGTGATAATGCAAAAAAAACCAAAAACAAATATCTGGACAATTTTCTTCTGAGAGAGATCCTTTAAGAAAAATGTTGTCTTTGCTCAATCAGTATTTCCTCTGTGTTCGGATAAACAGTCCTCTGTATCAACATTCATACATGTCCTTTGGGAATCATTCACACACACACTCACTCTCTCAACCACACACACACACACACACACACACACACATACAAACACTCTCTCTTACGCAGCCAATTACACATGCAATGTGGTTTCTGATTGATGGACGACAACATCAGATCAGCCCCCTCCTCTTCTTGTAGTCTTCCAGGTTGAGGGACCTACGGGGAGCGCCATCCTTCACGGGCAGCGCGTTGGAGCTCACGGACAGAGACTTTGCCTCTGCAGAACACAAGAGTAATATTAATACTTCTTGTTTCTAATGTGCTGCGGTTAACGTCTACAACCACCTCTGTACCACAGAGTAAAATCATCTCACCTGCATTGGGAACCTGTAGGTCGATCTTAACGTCAAAATCATGAACTTTAAACAAGTCCTCTGAGAGGTCAGTGGTTGGCTTGGGGACATCTTTGTCTTTTGGGTTTGGTTGACCCTGTAATATCACAAACAGAGCAAAGAGAGATTTAGATACTTTGAAGTATAGTTCCTCTGCAAGTTATTCTCTGCATTTATGTTACAAAACTTTTAACAGAAAAGACAGAAATTCAGGCCCCAATAGGGGACACATACACACACTAGTAATAATACCTGTTGGGAATGTAACTGAAATAGGAACTTTCCCGCACTGTAAATGGAAATGTAATTTGGTCAGACCACTCGGGATTACAGTATTAGAAATTTTAAGTTGTTGGTTTGGTTCAGATTCTCTTAAAGTCCAAAGTTGTGTTTACTGGGGGTCGATCACAAATACCAAACATATCCAAGTGTGCATTTTCTGTTATTATCGTGGGTCTAATAACTGTCTGTCGAGTTATCCTAAGAAAACAAAGCCCTGGATTTGAAAGAATGAGTTATTGCAACGGTGGAAACAGAATCTTATGAACGTATGCTCAGTAGAATAAATGGCTATCAGGAGAAAGGAGTATCTCTGTAGGACTGGTTATGGACTCATATCAAAATGGAATATAAGCCTACATAATTATAAACCTGCTCTGTGACTATGTGACCCTGTAGAGAGATGTACGAGGACATATGTGTGACATGTTATTGCTTATTACTGTTTTCTTCTGTTTCCTTTAAAACTTATTTGTTAATTTTTCTTTACATACGGGAGTCCAACTCCATGTTGTAGAAACATTTCAAAATTGAACCTGAAACGTTGAGAATTAAGTCGACATGCAGAGATTAAAGCCAGAACATCGAGAAAAGTCAAAATGTCTAGAATGAACTTGACAGTTTAAGATAAAAGTCGAACTTCTGAAAACAAATCAAACTGCTGCTGCTACTGTTTAAAACAAAAAGCCTTGTGTAGATGAATTGGTGAAATTGTACTTTGGTTTTGGTAACAAGGACAGTTTTTTTAATTCTCTTAATGAGCATAAACACAGTGTGGTAGTGGGCTTTAGGACTCTGACGAGATTGCCCTGAAAACTGTCTGTTCAGAAGGAGGAACCACACACACTTGGAAAAAGCGGCAGCATTTGTGCAAACTCAAGAAGCAGCTGGTGACAGACAGATGCAAGGAAGATGAAAGAAGAAACTGCAAGATGAAACTGATGGTTACTGCTGCGTGTAAGACAGCGAGAATATCTTGTATCACAAGACGGGATTTGACGGGCAGGGAGCTGACTTTATTCTCAAAATTTTGATTGAATTCTCAAAAGATTTAGCAGGCAAACTATACTTGTGAGGAATATTTTTGAGTCTTCAGAAAATCGACTGTTACTAAGAGAGTTCATTTTCTGACGTCTTCAAATTCAGACAAATAAAACAAAGCACGCCTTGGCTGGTGCAACAGGAAACAGGACGACAACCAGGATTTGGGCAGTGTTTGCACCTCTTGTAACAAGTGAAACAAGTGAACACCTTAGAGTTCACACTCCAAACATGTTATATGTGAAAGCACTGGGAGTGTCTCTGAGTGTGTGTCCTGCTCACCAGTTTGTTCTTCTCTCCAGAAGAAGGATCTTGTGCTGACCCAGAGCCGTACTTCTGGTTCAGGTGAGCGAGAATAGCTGCGTGGACTGACGGGTCTCTGGCCTGTAAAAATCCAAAAGGAGCAGGTCGACAGTTTAGATTAGATTCAGCAGTGTTTATTGTTTTCTTGCATATAAGGAATGCTGCGAGAAATAATGAGAGTAATCTTACATTAGACACCATGGTGGGTTTGCACTGTCTTCGTGTGAAAGGGTCCATTTGTTGGTTTTTGGCATTTTGTCCTTCAGCCTGTGAGAAAAATAAAAAATAGGCAATTTCAGCATTTTATAATCAAAACTGCTGTAAAGTCGACACAATGTTCTGGAGTCGTTCACAGGGGGTGTGTTACTGTGAGACACACAGAACACTGCACACTGCTGTGAGTGGCTTTAAGTGAAGTGCAGCATGACTGAATACTGTCACAGTGGAGAGCTGCCACGTTAGGAAAACATCTGAGGTTAGGCAGTGTTTCAAAGTCTTGGTGGAGAGTAAATACACTATCAGAAACTATTTGTCGACAATTTGTTAAGGTGTAAACTTCCCTTCCTGCCCTTCAGTAACATTTCTGTTGTACTTATATCACACCCCTTCAGTGCAAACAGAAACTACAGGATGTGAACAGGATGCAACATGATTGTACAACTTGATTGAACAAGCACTTCCATATTCTCATCTTATATTCTAACACACACTTTTCACTTAAATTATAAAAGCTTTATAGCAAGTATGTGCAATAATCAATTGCCTACAGATATTTTATCATCCCAGTCCGATTATTAAAACAACAAGGTGAAGGAGACACTTACCACGAGAGCTTTCTCAGATTCAACAATGTTCCAGCTTCTGTTTCTCTGATTGATGTAGCTGCATGATAAAAAGAATCAAAAACAATTTAGTCTTCAAACACAATCAGCTCCAACACAGAGTCATTATGTTAAAGCTGGAGTGCAGAACATTTGTCTCCCCCCTCTGTCAGTGAGAGCAATTACATAAACATTGTCGATGCATTCTATGACGTATGCCTGCAGGTGAGCTCGCTGTATCTCCCCCGCCCCCAGGAGTGCTCTCTTTAAGTCTTTTCACTTTAATCCTTCCTCTGAATGCCAAGTTTATTTTTTATCTAGAGCATCCACTCAAAAAACGTTTCTTTGGTTGACATAAAACGCATCATTTCAGGCGCATGAACCCGGGAAAGATGCCACAGACACCGAAACTCTGATATACTGCAAAATACAGAGAGCTTTGGCAGCAAAACGTGTAATTAGCATCGTGCGAACTTGTTTGGCAGGACCTTGAGTGTAACAGTCGTTCATCTATATGTCAAAGTCCTGCACTCCAGCTTTAAAGACTGTGGATTTTAAATATATGACATGAATCAATCCTCAGGTATATTTCCATCCCATGTTCATGTTGTTTTTCAGTCCTTGACAACCACAGGTCTGAAGCAAGGATCTCTATCCAGTCTTATTACAAAAATAACTGCAGAGAGATTTAAAGGCACTCATAAGTGTAGCTTGTGTACCTGATGGCAGAGATGTTCTTGGTCCTCTGTCTGTCTAGTGCTTCTGCTCTTTCCTCCAGCTCGTTCAGCTCATCCTGGATCACTTTCACTTTGTCACCATCTCCACTCTCTTCTGCCATGGCCTTCATTTAAAACACATAAAAAGAGTCAGTAAGACTCTCAATAGTCACGAACTGATGATAGATTCAAGGTCACGACACATTCTCTCGACAGAAACAGTCGTTTCCTTTACCTTATCTTTGAGTAACTGCGTTTTCTTCATGGCATAATTCGGGGGTGCTTTTCGGAATCTGTCCTTCTCTTTAACAATCTGCAGCGAGACAGAAGACAAAAAATGTTTTGTTCCACTGCATCATGCCCAAGCACTGAGACATGAGTTACAGTCTAGAGAAGCAGACTCACATCCTCTATGTCTTTGTCGTTGAACTTATAGTTCAGAGCTTCTTTGATGGACTGCTCCTTTTTGGTGATTTCGTCAAGAGTCGGTACCTGCATTCCTGCAACAATCATCTGGAAAAGAACACGATTAAAACCACAAATGTAAACTTAGAGCCATCTCTTTTGCCTCTAATTGATTCATCAATAAGTTGTCAACTAAGCTGCAGTTGAAGCTACATAGGTCGAGTCATTTAAACTGACATTAGAGATTAGATTCAAAACACACTTACAGCCTCTTTCCACTTCATGAACTCATTTTCCATGAACTCCTGATTCGATACAAACTCGAGCCTGAAGACCCGCGTGTCACCGCCATGCCTGAGGAAGACATACAATCATATGGTCAAATTTTTGGTGAGCAGAGGTCTGTTAAGTGACTCTCGATTACCTAGTTTAACATGTATCTGTAATTTTACACCAACCTTAATTGTAATCCCTTGTTTGTTCGCGTTGATCCAAGCTGGTAAACCTTCGCCGTCTCCACCACATCCACAATTTCAGCCACCTTTCAACAACAAAGGAGGACTTAAATTAAATCACACTTCGCTAATCAGACTTTATTTATGTAAATCTATTTTTAAAGAGTGCCGAATCTTCACAAATGTTCTGTAGAGCCCAAGCTTACCCTATAAACCGGTTTACTGCTGCTGTTTCCAATCCCTATCCTCACGAAGCAGCCAGTCACAGTCTTAGCGAAGAAGGGCATGTGGCACCAGCGCTCCAGCTTGTGTCTGGACAGGCGGATCCTGTTGAGCTCATCTGGTAGTGAAACGGGTTGCGACTTCGGTGGAGTTTCTTCTTTTCTGTTGGCAGAACACAGTCAGACGTTATTTGAAATCCAGTATAGTCCTCTGATGAAAGTATTAAACCACTTGGAGCAGAATGAAACTTACTCATCGTCATCATAAGATGATGAACGGGAACTGCGATCACTTTTGACTGAGGATTTGTCATCGTCTTCCTCTTCTTCCTCCTCGTCGTCAGAGTATACCTCGCTCGTCTTCAGGGGCTGACGTTTGGCCAGCAGTTCTGCTGCTCACCGAAGAGATGAAACGTCAGCTTTTTGGAACAGACTGAATTGTCACAACAATCAGGTCATAAGAAAAAAAAAGTTACACCAACCTGTTTTGTTTTTCTTCTTCTCACGCTCAGCTTTGAGCTCCTCCATGGCCTGGGACTTTTTATCAAGTTTTTCGTCGCGTTTGGATCGTCTCTCCTTGTTGTGTGACATCACCTGGAGAGAGGTGGATATTACAATCAGACACAAAGACAAACTCAGGATGAAGAAGAGGTGTAATGATGCCACTACATTAGCCTAACTTTAATGATGATTCAATAAGCAGGAACAATGCAATCAACACTCAGACATAGGCAAAAGACATTATGACGCAGCACCAAAAAAACAGAGATGCACCAATCACTCAGCTGGTGACAGGTATTTGCTGATTTGCAGCTTGTTCGGCCGTGACCAGTGATCAGCAGGTCAGTCTCAGATATAGCCAATCCTGTGGCAATCAAATTTACATGCCTGCACCGCAAGATGATTAATGTCATGTACACAGCAGCACAGACAGTAACCGACTATTGTCACAGCTGCTGCAACCTGTTCTCATTCCTAGGTCGTCAATTACCGATGCTCTGTCACACCCTCCATTAGCGACTTATCAGACCCTCTTAGTGACTTTATTTCTAAAGAGCAACTACCAACAAATGTAGCAACTGTTTTGGACCATCAGTATAAAAGTTGTAATTCGTTCCCATGCATGTCGCTCAGAGTAATCACATTGACTGACTCTTCTGCCAGTAGCGCGGGGTCTCCCCTCTCCTCTGGTGCTGTGGCATGCACACAATGTGGAGCAGGCAGGAGGAGAGGAGAGGAGACGCCGCTCGCTGCTACAGTGGGAGTTAAGATAATAGCTGGTTCTATAATTGGCCTACACACAGTATAGAACGGTGTTTTCTCTGATATGTAAACAAATTGAGCATGTAAAGATGTGTTGCACCTGCTCTCTTCTGGGAAAGTAAACATGTTAGATAAAGCAGGATATACTGCAACTCATTTACAGTAGGATTTTATTTGTACAAAAGCTCTGTACAGTAACCTGGAGCAAATTTTATCTCGAGTTTGAGTGAGCGTGAGATAAGTTCCTGTAATCTGGTCTACGTTATCGATTTGAATTAATTTTTTCAATTTCAGAAAAGATATCAAAATGGTTGTGTATCCTGTCAATTCAAGTTTTGGAAAGAAAGGAAACTGGAATTGACCAAAATCACAATCTACAGGTCAGACATCTTTTAAAAAACATTGAAATTGGATAAAATTAAGGTACAATTGGTGATTCTTTATCAAAAAACTGACATTTCTTTCTTCTTCTTTTTAGTTTTTAAAAAGCCTCCAGCATGACTCTTACGATGGTGCCATCAAACAACACGTCCATTATGGTTCAAAATGTCTCTGAAACTGGACTCACCACTTGTGTGTCTTGAACCTGAGATTGCTTCCTCTTCTCTTGCTCTTCCTCCTGCTTCTTCTTCTTCTCCTCTTTCTCCTTCTTCTTTGCCGTCTTCAGCTTCTTCTTAATTTCAAACCTGTCGAAACAAACATAGTCTTGAATAAACAGAAGCTCAGCTATGTTAAATTACCAGACTCACAGAGCATGAACGCTTTCTCATTTTTATTACAAATATGTTGTTGAGAAATAGGAGAAAGTTGAGAAAAAGCAACACAGGTGCTCTTTTCAAATAAATGTAATGTTCTCTCTTAACTGAGATTGATTCTTTACATCATCCCTACTCACCGTCTCTTTAGCACCTCTCTCTTTTCGATTCTGTTGAACAGCTCCTGTTCTCTCTCCTTTTCTGTCATCTGCTCCAGCCGAGCTCTGTCCTCCGCGTCTCCCATCAGGTCGTCATCGTAGCCGTCCCTGAACACCTCGTCCTCTGAGGAGTCCGAGTCGGAGCTGGAGGACGAGCTGTTGCTCTCTGAATCAGACACCTCACCTGATAAAGAGCAATTAATCGGCACAAATAGCAATCATTCAGCTGAGATCAATTCTGGAGATGACAATAACAGCAACCTCAATAAATTCTACTAATTAATTTACAAGGCAACTTCAGTATTTTTCAACCTGGACTCTTTTTTCCCATGTTTTCATATCTAAGTGACTAATAAGAACGTATTCCCTGCTGGCAACTGAACACCATAAATTTACGTCCACTAAATGTGTTTGTTTTTGCCACTGACAGGCTCAGATTGTTTTTTGAGTCTCTGACAACATTATGGAAAGGAACCCCTACAGAAATAGACCTTTTTGTTCAAGAGCAAGATCCTTTTTGTCAAACCAGAAGCAGCCTGAAACCACTGTCGTCAAACCCACCAGACTACAGTTAAATAAACAGTAATTTCATCTTTGTAAAACGCACTTCGTTCAAAGTCAACAGAGGCAGAATAAAACTCTCAGAAACCATCTTGCTTTGTCTTTTCACTCTTCTGAAGATCAACGGCTCTGGTCTGGCTGAAATAAACTCTTACTTTATCTGGTTTGATGTGAAAATATATTGACTCTATACATGCTTAAATTTGTATTTATTTAAATGGAGTCTGGTGTATGTGGCGATGGCGATTTCTAGAGCTGTTTCCAGTAAAACAAAAAGGATCTTACTCTTTAAAAAGGTCTATCTCTGTAGGGATCCTTTCCATAATGTTGTGAGACACTAAGAATAGTAATCTGAGCCTGTCAGTGGCAAAAACAAACACTTTCAGTGGACGTCGGGATTAAACTGCAGCTGGTTTCGCGGCTGCTGACTGCAGCCCTCACGCTCAGTACTGGACCTGTTTCAAAAGTTGTTGTTCCCATTAGTTATTTAGTCAAAAAACATGGAAAAATAGGGTCCAGGTTGGAAAACACTGACATTACCCTTTAGCTCCTTTGTGCTCTGTTGTTTTATGTCTTCTAAAAAAATCTGTGGACAACTTTTGGCAGTGAGACATGCATTTTAAAAAGATAACAAGTACTTGGAAATGACATTGTACTTCTTGTAACTGAAAAATAAAGGCAGCCTAACAGCAACTCGTGATGGCTACAATACACCATGTGTAGTTTCACCATGTGGCAATAACAGCTTCCTTCAAAATGACTAATATGATTTAGTACAAATACAAAAGACAATTGGAATGTGATTTAAATGTTTTTCTCTAAAGTTTTTAACATGTTTACCGAGCTGCTTATATCTTACAGTTTGTTTAATTTGTCATTGTGTTCAATTGAATTAAATCTTTTAAAAGAGATGCAATAATGCAGGGTGTTTATTCTTGCCAGTCATGTCTTAAATCATCCTGGATTTTGACCAGAAGATTTCCAGAACTTTTTCCTAAAGAGTTTTCCAAGTTTTCCATAACTAAGTGGACTCAATGTATAGCAGCACAAAGTAACACAAACAAATGGCAGTTGAGATGTTACACTGTGTGCCACCTGAGGATAAAGGGGATGAGTGTGTGAGTCACCTAATCCCAGCCACCTGATACCGGTGGATATGGCACCCTGGTGACATGTGTGTAATTTACAGTTCAGAATGTGTTGCCACTCTGCAGTTTGCACTTTATGTAAGATGCCATTAACCTGAGGACGTGTGTGTCAGTGTGCTGAGCTGTTAGTTGGCATTTGTACAACTGCCACTACAGCCAATTCCTCAACTCTTATCAAACATAGTTACTGAAACGTTTTTGGTTTTACACGCAGGCATTACGTCAGCCTGCTTGTAGAAGATATAGAATATTTTTCCCAACAATAGTGGAGACGTACCCTCCTCTGGTGCAGAGCTCTCAGCTGAGCTGTCTCCATCTGAGCTGCCAGATGCCGTCGCTTTGTTCACCTTCTTCTTTGTGGCGTTCTTCTTCTCTGACCCTTTCCCTTGCTTAACCTTCTTTTTGCCTTTGGTGCCACCCACAGTCCACTGGAATAAGAAGTGTAAAATTCAGTTTTGGTCATCAAACAGCTGCATCTGACAGAGAATAGTGGTCTATTCTTTTGGTTAGACAGTATTTCTGGTTAACTTCAAAGTGCTTGATGACAACGTAAGAACTGTGACATGTTTAAACTCTATTTTCAACAAAAAACAAAGTGTTTTAGAGCAAATACAAATATTGACATACCTCATCATCGCTATCGGATGTCTCAGAGTCTGTAGAAGCTGCAGGTTTGCTAACCGGCTCTTCCTGATCACCCGAATCAACCCTCTTCCTCTTTGCCAACGATAACAGCTCCTGAAAATGACAACACAGTGATGTGGTTCAGAAAGAGCGGCAAGTAAAATCACAATCACACAAAGAGGAAAAGGCGGGAAAATGCTTCCTGCACGTGTAGCCCTGCTCGTACTCTGCAATAACATGTGTTTTCTTGGATGAACCAATCCTGGCAAGTCATCTCTAAATACAGGTGTAAATAAACCCAAACTGCACGGAGGATGCATTGGAATCCATTTTTTTAAGCCACATTCAGGGGTGAGATGCATATGACCCCCGATTATATTTAAGAGCCGACTAGTCAACTTCATAATATACATATAGCAGGACAAACTTTACAAACACAGCTGATTGCCAAGACAAGGGCTTGAAAGCTTACTAACTCCAGACCGGGCAGGAGCAAATGTGTATTTTTGTTTAGCAGCGGTTAGTTTCTCACAGAAAGACAAAATGTGAGCAAAGATGCAAAATCCAGTCACAAGTTGTCATCGAATAACATCCCGATGGCGGGAGTGGGCCATAATTTGTCTCATGTGTATTCATGCATAACTTTGATTCAAGATACAAGTTCTCATCAGGACCTGAACACATTTGAACAAGATCAAACACGAAAGCAATAATGTGAAGATAAATAAGATAACCATGAAAATGCATGGACACACAGCTGATTTTTCCGCTGTAAAAATGTATTAAAGCTGCATTAAAGCTGATTTAAGGATGGAAAAATCCCCTGATTTGCATATCGATTTATTTTGGACTTAAAATACTGATTTTTTGAAGAACCTTGTTTGTCAGCTTTCCAATGATCAGAAAAGCAAAATGTTATGTTTATTTTTGAAGAACATATCTGCATCTTTAGGTGAGCTCGTCATCCAATACGGGTCAACTTCAAGGGCCTGTGTCTCCTGAATGGTTTGGTCATGCTGGTTAGCCAAACCACATTTTAACACGCTCTTATATAGGTCAACAAAGTTTTGCTCAAATCAAAAGGGGTGAGGGCAGGAAAGGATTGGTTTCTGACTCAGGTTATCGTGCCACACAAATCTCAGGCCTCATGTTACTTCGCATAAACATGATTTTAATGAGTTCCACACATTGAGCTCTGCAGATTTTAACAACACTGCCAGAGACAAAGTTGGGTCTCTAACACATTCCCATCACTCCAGTAATTCAATACTGCAAATATTTAACCTGTATACCTTTCCTCAACAAGATGATCGCAAAACATAATTGTAGAGAACTGACCAGCTTTGATATACACAAAAAAATGTTGATTTGAGCAACCATGGAAACAAGGCTTACTGAACTTCTCTAAACCCTGTCTGGTTTACAGGCTGTCTGTGAGCACCAACTATGTGTTTGTGTACTGTCAGGTAATGTAAACCGGGGGCTTTAATGGTGATCACAGTAACTGAAGAAGTAGACATGTACAGCACGTCAGACTGACAGGTTGGACCGGTGAGCTCCTCAGTCAGCTTGCCAGCACTTGTTTGTCAGCGACGTCATTGAGCAGATAAGGCTCTTCTGGCTATTTCAAGAGCGACTCCACTACGGCTCCAGTGTGTACAAACATACCCCGTTGACGTTCACGTTGAACACTAACAATTAAATCCCTAGCTCGGGACGTTGTCAAGCAGCTTACTAGTCGAAACCAGTAACAGGCCCGTGGCGCGGCATTTTGGTGGCAACATAATACTGCATGATTGCTCGCGTTGAGTGTATCTCTCGGAATGTAACCTTAACGGTAGCATAACTTAGCTAGCTGATGCTACGACGCTGCCATCTGTACAACCTCACACTTACACCGCACACAACCTCACATATAACACAAAACCACTGGAGAAACATTTAAACATTTATTAGTCTTTGGGAAATGCGTGTTTACTGGAAAAGGGAAGCCAAGACTGTAAATAAGATAGGCCCACACTCGGCTTGTTCAAGCGAGGCAAACCACAGCGGAGTCGGTTAGCATACGTTAGCTTCACCTCAAAGTGTTGTCAACTTAACCAACGCTCAGGTTGTAAGGAAATAATAAAAAAAGGCGCACCTACCTGATCTAAATTATCGTCGCTAGCACTGTCCTCAGAGTCAGAGTCAATCACGACTCGACCTTTCCGTTTCTTTACATTCACCATGATTAGCTGCGCGGCTAACCTGCTAGCTACCTCTGTGTCGTCTATATGTTTGAGGCTAGCCGTTCTTGCTATCCAGCTAGTTGGCTCTGCAGTCAGCCACACAAAGGCAGCACTGAGCATGCGCGTTCTTATAGAAACCTCGGCTACGGCTGTGTTTAATACATTTTTCAGTGAAATAAAATTCACATTTATGTTTGTGCTTATTAAAATAGTTTTTTAATATAATTCAAATACATAAAAACGCCTGGCAAAGGCGCGAGGACATCGACAGTTAGCTATGAGTGGAACTATATATTTACTATGTGTCAGTCAGGACAGGAATCTTTGGTGCAATAATGTTACAGCTGCATTCAAGGTCCACGATAAATCAACCTTTTACTGTTGTACGTTAAGCTGTAGCCCCGGGTGTTACGTGTCCTGGATTTACAACTAAATGTACACAACGAGTTTATTGATTGTTTAATTTAATAACAGTGTCTTGGATAAATAAATTGGTGGTCGAGTTAAAGTAAAACAGGAACCGAAGTCTGAAATATCCATGCGTCACCTTCAGGTACATCGTGAACACAGTAAGTAGAAACAGATTGTACTAAACATACATTTAGTGTCATATTATCATCAGAGTAATGTGAACCAGGTAGCTTTGGTCATCTTTTGTAACCTTAGCTATGTATTTAAATGTTTACAGGATAGAGTCATAACGTGTCTGTAATTAGCGACTTTATTATGGCTGTATAATTTATTTACTCAATGGAGGTGTCAGAATTATGGGAAATTCCATTTTTAAAAAAAAACGGATTAAGCTATACTGAAACAAAAAAAGACAAGTTAATTTTTACTCAATCTCTTTACCATGTGTGTAAAGCTCAGACCAGCAAATGCTCTGTATTTCTTTACATGTGAAATTAATTAACAGTTGATTAAGTAACACAGGTGGAATAGATGTACAATGTCACGATTTTTTTCAGAAAATAGATACATGATAGATATGCTCAATGTTGGATTTTTTGCAGATATCTGATATGTCATAACCCATTTGGCCGGTAACTGATATCTATATCACCTTTTTCCCCACCTAATTTTAGAGATCATCGCGTCCCTTCTGTAGTGGAATTAACATCATATTATGCATGCGTATTCTTATCATGATGTCCCACCAGCAGATGGAGACATGAAATACAATACCCTTCAAAGTATATAATATTTATTCAATGTGCAAATTAAGAAAAAGCATGTTGGCTGATTAGAACAGCTCATTTTAAACCCTGTATCGGCCAGTATCGATGACGTGCCGATATTACTGTGCATCCCTCATACAATCCCTCATAATTTATCACCACTGGGGAATCATATTTTATACCAGAAAAGGAAAGAAACACAAGTTTAACACACAAGAGCTGACATATGAAGACATACTAAAACTAACATAAGTGTCTAAATGACATTAGTGTAGCTAAAGAGCCTGCCAAACCACTAAAAAAAAATAAAATAAACTATAAATACAATGGATCAGTTAATACAAGTCGAATCATGTGTGATGCACCTCTTAACAGGACCAACAAAATAGGCAGAACACAGATAGGATAACAGTTTTAGCACTAATCTGAGATTTGTTTCATAAACCAAATAATAATTTTTTAATTGCGCCTTTCAGGCAACCCAAGTACGCATTACACATATGGAAAAAACAAACAACATAAGAACAGAGAATAGTAGTAGGAACTGTCAAGCCACTTGAATAAGATTTCTTTTAATATTTTGTCTCTTTGTAAATCTAAAACAAACTTAACTTTTATAATCCATTTCCACACTGAGTCCAGTGCAATAACAGCATTTTTCTGTATGTTTCCCATCAGTGAATCGTCCATATCACCACTGAAATGCCTCTGCCAAAGATCACACGTCTCCCCTCAGCGAGGCTGCTGAGCTCCGTACACCATCACCAGCTGCTCCTCCTCCCCTCCATCACTCCTCTCAGCGTGCCCAGAAGAGCTGTGAGTCAGGGTGAATACAGACGACCCGGCCAGCCCAAAGAACACAAGTTCCCATGGCAGGGGATTAACTTTAGCTTCACAAAGGGTTTGGAAGGAATAAAGAAGAATTTCACGCTGCTGAAGAAGGAGTTTACCGACCCATGGATCGGTCCGGAAGGCAAACCGATTCTTGAGCACATGTTAGAGCAGAACAGAGTGATATGGGAGTTCAGAGGTCCGGAGAGCATGGAGCAGTGGACGGTGTCCTCGGATCATGAGATAGGAGGTCAAAGTGAAGCTTTCTTGAAGCTTGGCAGAAACAATAATACCTGTTTTCTGTACGGGACTCTGAGCTCTACTCCTCCAAAAGATGGAGAGACACGATACAGTGGCTACTGCACCATGCGCTCAAAGCAACAACTGGTTAGTGCCCTGCTGTTTCCTAAAGTTTGTGGAATCATACATTCACTTCTAATAAGGTTGGGAAGTTATTCTAAAAGTATCCTGGGCCATTGAGGACTCTGAGGTGGAGACTCTCATTTCAAATATATTCAAAGGGGCAGTAACCCCAAATCAAGTGTGTGAGTTGCAGAGTGTTTGAGTTATTCGTGGTAGAGATGTCTTCCCACGCTAATATAATGAAACTAGATAGCACTCGGCTTGTGGTGCTCAAAGCACCAAAAAAAAAAAAAATAACATTTGGAAAAACTCAGCATCAATGTCTCTTTCCAGAAATCATGACCCAGTTACTCAAGATAATCCACAGACCTTGTTGTGAGAAATTTCATGTGGGAACTATTTTATTTCTACCAAACTACACTCACCACCTGTATCACAGCGCAGAAGGAAGCGTGCATCTACTGCTAGCTCACCTAGCACCACCAAGCTAGCTAAGGTTACATCTCAGCCCAGGAAGACGCAAATTTGCGAATAGTGAATGAACGACCCACCCTGACCTCCCTATGATTGGCTAATACTCATTGCCTTTGTTGGTTGGATTTGTTAGGTTTAGGCAAGAGGAGTGGGATTGGATAAGGTTAGGGTAAGAATGTCAGGGTGAGCCATTCAGAGGCCTTGATGTGAGCAGTTTTGTGTAGGAACTCTTTCTTTCTACCAAACTACACCCACCAACCGTATCACCATGCAGAAGGAAGAGTGCATCTACTCATGGACGAGAGGCTTGTGCTCATGACAGAGCAACATGTAAACATTAATGGTGTCCTGTGCATGTATTTGCAAATCCTAAGATGGTGAAGGAATGGCCCCCCTTACCCTAACCAACCCCACTCCTCCCACCAACAAAGGCAATGAGTACTAGCCAATGATAGGGAGAGTAGGGTGGGTCATTCTTTAACCATCCTAGGATTTGCAAATTAGCGTCCTCCTCGGCTGAGATGTAACCTTAGCTAGCTTGGTGGTGCTAGGTGAGCTAGCAGTATATGCACACTTCCTTCTGCGCTGATACACTTGGCAGGTGTAGTTTGGTAGAAAGAAAATAGTTCTTACGTGTCACTGCTCACAACAAGGTCTATGGATTATCTTGAGTAACCAGGTCATGATTTCTGGAAAGAGACATTGCTGTTGAGTTTTTCAAATGTACTTTTTGGCGCTTTGAGCACCACAAGCCGAGTGCCATCTAGTTAATTATATTAGAGAGAAGGCAGACATATCTAAGGCCGATAACTCCAAAACCATTGTGGGTGGCAGGTAACTAAAACTCTGTTTACCAACTGCTATTGGTATTCATTTCAAATACACGACACACCAGCTGAATTTACTGACTAGTTTCTCTTCCTTCTCTGTGGTTTACTGGTGCTAGTCTGAACTGGAATGAAAACCTGCCCACATCCAGTTCTCAACTGCTCTTAAATTCATATAGCTGTCAGTTAGATAACTGATGCAGCCTGTCCCTCAAACATTTTTGTCTCTCCTAGATGTCTCTCGATAGAAAAAAGCACTACGATTGGTCCAGTTTCAACACCCTGCATCTGCGTGTGCGCGGTGACGGCCGTCCATGGATGATCAACATCGCCACAGAAACATACTTCTCTCACCAGAAAGATGACCTCTACAATTATTTCCTGTACACCAGGGGAGGACCCTACTGGCAAGATGTCAAGGTGAGCAAAAATAAATCTTTATAAATTTTCTGCGGGGAAGAGCTGATAAATGTATGTTGAAAAGAAGTATCACAGAATTTGGAGAATATTGTTACCGCGTTTGCTGCAATTTTACTCGTGGGAATAGGTGGCGGGGTTTTTTTGTCTAATACACAATGTAAGCAATGTAATACTTAAGTGTTCCTCATCTACAGATACCTTTCTCCAAGTTCTTCCTCACAAGTCGTGGAAGGATACAAGACGACCAGCATCCTCTCTGGCTGGACAAGGTAGAGCTAAGAAAAGTCAAACTGATGTAGCATCAGATACATGAATAAATCAAGCCAGCACAAAGTTATACTGTTAAATACATATGAATCATTGCCTTTGGATATTTTTAACCTGCAACTGTTGCGGTCTAACACATTTTGCTCACCTATATTCACTACATGTGTTTGTATTTACAGGTAAACACCATTGGATTCACCTTGGGGGATAAAGCAGACGGTCCGTTCCAGCTTGAGATCGATTTTATTGGCGTCTGCAAAGATTACGCACACACAGAGGAGTTTGCCTACGAGGTCTACAAGAGGAACCCGGAAGTTTGAGAGCAACAGCTACAACACTGCACATGAACTGCTTTGAATACTGGTGGCTATATTTAAACTGTCAATAAACAAATGTGCCACCTTCAAGTGGTGGAAAATCAGTTACAAGCAATTCTTGTTAACACTGTAAATCTGGATTCTAACTGTGATACGTATGTAATGATGGGCCATTTTTTTACCTACAGAACTTGTTAGAGCCCTGAAGTATGTTTCTGGTTATGTCTTGTTGAAGGAGATTAAATACAACAACTATGACCCTCCAATTTCAGGACAGTTATTGAGACAAGCGTGCTGCTCTTTCACAACAAAATCAAGTTGTTCATCATGTCAACAGTCCAAATGTTAAACATTATCCTGCAACAGATAATGTCAACCAACCAGATCTTAATATTAAAACCACTTTTTTGCAGGACATTTTTCACTATCACATCACAAATGTGCACAAATGTCAAAGCACAACAGTAAGGAAAACTGCAATGCAGCAAACTTTAATTAAAACTGTAGAACGCAGACAAGGAATTTTTTTCTATCAATGTCTTTTTTATCCGTTTTTGCCTCCCACAACAAAAGTACCAGTTTGAAAAGCAGCAAAGCGTGACATTGATTCTCTACACATCAAAGTACAAAAGCAAATCAACTTCATTTATCCCTAAAATTGAAAAACAGTATATAGACGCAGAAAACGTTAGCTTCCTAACAGTATGCTAAAAGAGACTGCAGAAATTAAAGCTTCAGCTGCAGACAACAAAATATTTACACTGGAAAAGCAGGCTGTACAAAAGGTCTGTAAACAAGCGCGATATTTTTACATCATAACAAGGCCTCTTCTTGCCCCGAGCATATTCTCTTTCTTCTGCTTCCGGTCTTCGGTATGTTTTGCTCTCCTGTTCTCCCTAAAATAAGACACAGAAACATCCATAAGAGGCTGATGCTCAGAGAGAAACTTGTTATGGAAGATAAGCCAGCTTGTATTTTAATTTTAGAAATACCTCGTCTGGACTTGGTGTTGTTTGTAGTTTTTCTGATGGGAGTTTACGATCAGCGACTTGTTTCCTGCCGTGTTTTCTTTGGTCTCGGCAAACGGCTTCAGTTTACCTATAGAAGAAAATAAACCTTCAGGGAATTGTCTGTCCACTGATCCTACACTTCAGAGATATTAAGAAGCTGTTTGTACCTGTGTGAGGTTTGTAGCTGAGTGGACGAGACAGACTGGCCTTCAGATCAAAAGCTGGCTTCTTTTGTGTTCCGGGGGTTGCTGTCATACTTGTGTTGCCGGTGAAAACGAATGGTCCTGGAATTAAGGGGGAGAAAAAGGTCATTCATGGAAGCTCTACATATCTATAGGCAAATTCAGATATAAATCCAAAGATTAAAATGTTACAGTTACCTGTTTTTGTGGCAGAGAAAGTGGAAGTCTTGACACCGTTGGGCTTTCCTCCATCTGTGGTCTCCTTCTGTGGGGTGTTTGAGGCCACGCAGAGTGACTTGCGTGCCGGCGTCTTCACCAGCGACTTCTTGTGCTCATTGTCACGTGTGGCTTCAGAGAACCTGCAAACACACGTGATTGTTAAAGCATTACATTGAACACTACATACAGAGTGCCAAAAAGGTGTGTTCATCCCCCTTTTAAGTTTTCGTGACTCAAAGGGCATTTAATGTGAATTTTTTGACAACAGCCACTAGAAACAGTCACTTTAATGTCAGAGATAAAACAGGGAATGCTTCTACTGCAGACAGAAGTAGTGGGCAGTCTCTTATGCAATGAACTGTGATGTGCTTTGCATTTTTGTGTGACTAATATCAGTCATAAACCAAAAGATGCCCGGCCCACATGGGCGTACATGACACTACAAAACATTATAAACAAGAGCAATAACATCATGGTAGAAACAATATCTTTAAAATGTCAAACATAAAATGCCCTCATACCTGTTGGTAAGCATTTGACACAAACTGAGCTAACAGAAACTCTTTGTCTGTATACAGAAACTCAAGTCTACATTCATCAGACCTGGAAAACAAATCAGGACATTCTGCAAATAATTTAAGGAAAAGCCAAAAATAGAATAGTAGAATAGTCAGAGTAGATCAAGTAATATTAACTACAGGGTCTTTTTTGGTTGATCAGCATAAAAAAGCCACACTAAATGCCCTTTGACTCAATGTCATAAGCAATAAAATGTTATGGAGAAGATAAGGTCAAGGCAGAGAGCAATTTGTCCGTATGAAAGTGGCTGAGAGGCCCAAAACTTCACCCGCAACGGCTGTTTACTTGCTAAAGTTCTTGGAGGAGTGAATAATATTTGGCTGTAGAAATTCATTTCTGTCAAGCAAAGGCCAGAGAAAGGAAGAGCTGCTCACCGAACATTGATCCTGCGAGAGGAAATGACAGAAGGTCTGAACGGAGCTTCTTCCTTGCTGGCAGGTTTGTTTGGAGGAGCTTTACTGGCTGAGAGCAACGTTTTTCTGCGTTTCTCCTCAGCTGGTTTCTTATTCAGCGGGACAGGGCTGAACATGGAGGCACGACTCTGATTGGCCTTCTGGAAAATACATACATACATACATACATACATACATAGGTCATCAGCTTCAATGCACTCTGTAAATAGTCAGTAAACTGCACTTGTAGTGTGTGCGCATTTCTGGAAGTTCAACAAGTGGTGATACTTACCACCTGAGCTTTGCCATTAACTTTCTGTAGTTTAGTTTTGTCTGACAGCTTCTGAAAATATAATAGAACATAAATTTTAAAAACCAAAACATCAAGTTCACTTACAGGTATAACACACAATTCTTTCTAACTAAAGACAGCCAAGACTGTTAGGAAGCTTTTGGTTACCTTCAGCTCTTTAACTGAACTTCTGAAGCTATCCATCTGCTTGGTCTTTCGCTGGACATAGGAGTCAATCGACTCCATCTTGTTAAAATGTGCTTCGTGGAGTTTTTTGAAATCTACAGAAGAGACACAATTTACAAAAATAATTTTTGAGAGTTTGAGGGGGAAATCTACTTTCTTACTGTTCTGTGGTTGCGGACTTTTTGGTTCAAAACCCGATTGTGATTGGAGTGGAAGCAATGAAGAAACAAATAACTTACTAGGAGTGATAGGCTTCAGCAGTGGCTTGTTCTTCTGCTGACGCCCCTGGTAACGAGGGATTTTACCCCCTCTGGGTGCTTTGGGTGCTTTTTCTGGACAAAGACATTTAATATATTTAAATGAAGTAGTAGTATGTGATTGCAACTTTGTGCTAAAGTCAAGAATCTCTGAAGACACTGGCTATTCAAACCAAACAAATCAACAGTAAGAAGTTTGTACCACTGACCTGTATCACCACGTACAGGTGCTTCATCCTTAATGTCAGGCTGCTGCTGCTCACTGACAGTGTCCTGGGGCTCCTCATTAGGAGGCTCAGCTTCACTTTTGTCAGAATCCTTGGCAGAGGACACCCTTCTCTTCTTAGACACAGCCACTTCAATGCCACCCTGAAAGGAACAGTTGTTTGACTTTTTAATCCTCATGAAAGCAAGAATATGTAGCCCTGCTGTGCATAGGGATCCTAGTACCAACTTTGCATATTTGAACCAATAAGAAATGGAGGATACACATGCACAAGTTGGTGCCATGTGTTTGTGTTGAGGATGCTATGAGGTGTGGTAACTTACCTCTGCAGCACTTGGAGGTACTGTGGCATCACTCTCATCCACTGCTGCAGTATCAGAGATCTTTCTCTTGGCACCGTTTCCTTTGCCTCGACGTGTGTTCACAAACACAGTGGGGCTGGAAACTTTTTCCTTGCAAGATGCGTCTTCAATCTCCTGGACACTGTCTTGTGCCGCAGTTTCTTCTTCTTGAACAGTAGTAATATCCTTCTCCTGTGCCTGTACGTCAGAAGTCAGGTTTTAATACTAATTTTGAAATGAAATAGTATCATTAACCAGTATTAGCTTGAGTTTACGATACCTGCTCCTGCTTCTCCATGTTATCTCCTTGTTCATAATACTGCTTGATCGCTTTCAGGAGTTTATCGGCCTGTTTTCGGACAGAAAGAGTAGCATAGTTGAGTACATTTCGCCTAGCTACACACGAAAGCAAACGTTAGCTCACAGTAACCGTTAGCGTTAATTGCACAAAAAAACTTCGCAGTATTTCAAAGTTTATTTTAAAAGTACGACTCCATTACCTTCATGTTCGCTTTAAGACCGAGCGCCTTAGCGATGCTCCTCAACTCGGCATATTTCATGGAGTCCAAATCCATGTTGTTATAATAGTTTAATCCGTTTTGTGAGAAGAACTCAACATACACACGTTCAGTTAGTCAGGCACGGTGAGCTGTGGCAGCGCCCGACGGTTAAAAACTGCTCCGATTCAAAACACAGCAGCGGGAGCCGTTTGATTGGCTCCTGCGTGGGACCGGATGTGCCTCTCAGCCAATCAGAGCGCAGATAGATTTTTGTGTTCTGCCCATTGTCAACATGAGTTCCATCAAAGCGTCAACCAGTGTGAAGAGTGTGCAGTCACACAAGACATGACATCCACCTGGAAATATTAGAGATAATTATCTGGATTCCAGCACATAACAATTTATTTTGGTCCTTGTTGACAATTTTCCTAGAGAAATGCACATGATATGAAATAAATCAGATCAAGGTATTAAATTAAAAGGGAAAAAACAAACGGGAAACCCAAAAATATCCTCTTTAGACCTAAAATTTTGTTTGGTCTGAATTTTTAATTTGTCCTAGCTATTTGGTTTCAGCAGGACCCAAAAAAGTATGAATAAAAAACTCAGCATTGGCAACAATAATTATGTCCCAGTGTGCTCAAACAAAGACAATAATAAAGTCCCAATGTCTTCAAAGGAATACTTCTTTCTTAGTGTTGCTAAAATTGGTCAAATTTGTTGCCATATCAAACTACAACCTTCATAAAAAAACAAGTTTTCACCATTAAATTTGATCAGGTTTTGGACCTTGTCCACTTTTGCGTCGGGATCGGCTGCAGACTGACTTGGCAGAGATGGCTGCCATCTTTTTTTTTTTACATGGATAAGTGTGTTGTGCTTCTGCTGCCACTGGATGGCACAAAAAGTGTCCATGAACGAGGACAACAGGTGTAAGTTACGCAGAATGAGGTATAGGGTCAAGTACACCCAAAATGTGATGTCCTCATATGAGGACACAGAGTCTCAGGAGGTTAAAAAAAAGGTGTAGACTGAAGCTTAAGCTTATTATACCAACTATTTTTACTTAGCATATTCTCATGAGTAACGTATATACTACTAAGTTTAAGTTATGCAAAAGAGAAAAAAAACATACAAAAAAATGTCATAATAAAAAAGGGGGGGTAGAAGGGAACAATTTGGCAGACAGATTTGCAATAGATGCAACTAAAAAATTAGAAACCAACATTCAAGGCCTCCTACATCCAACCCAGAGGTTCCTGCCAACCCAATTTACAGTCTTGGCTGCAGATTTCATACCTACTGAAAATTAATACCAAGGCCTCCAACAATGTGTGTGTGCTCAAAGAAGAAGCCTCACTAAATTCAAAAAGGTACCATTTGCTATGTACAGCCCTTGTAAAAGGCAAACTCATCTGTGTCATGGTTTTCTTCCTTTCTTTTTTGTATAATAGTCAAATGTATATGCTTACTCTATAAACTCTTAAAAAAACTATGAAATGATTAAATTAAATGAATAATTTCTGTTTTTTGTCATACACAGATTCAAATCAAGAGAACTTTATTTATCTCAAAGGAAATTCTTGTGCCAGAGAGTGCTTCAAATTACAGTGACAGAAATTACAGAAACAACAATTAACATTCACAAGCAGTAATAACCAGAACAAGTCAGTTCCCAGGGTCAGGGTCACTCACTGGGCCCAGTTTCAAAAACAATAGAGCATTAAATATTTGGAAAAAAATATTAGTATTATTATATTATTAAAAGATCAAAATCAAACTGGAACTAAAGAATTTACTACAGTAGAAATTAGGGCATGTGGAATATATAACATAATGTATATTTACATTTTTTGGAAAATAAAGGGCTTAGCAGGAGAACACACTGTAGGCATTTGGCCGTTCCGATACACACCACATTCACAAGATGGCGGTAATGCATCTGAAAGCTGTTTGCCAACCGCCATTAAACAACAGAAGAAGAAGAAGAAGAAGAAGCGCCAACATAAACGATTTAAACAATTTAAAGCGGTTAACGTTTGAATTTTCTTGCTTAGGGTGAGTAAAAAAAGTTATTTTAGCATCAGCTAATTTATTTTCACTTTTTTTCTGATGTAAAATGTTTACAACGATTGTTCTGTCTTTCGCTGTATATCGGCCTTTCTCACATTCCTCCACACGGTGGCGCTGTTACACCGAGCAAACTGACAGTGAGCCGAGGTAAGAACACACAAGGAAGAGACGTCCTGCTCTCCTCCTCAGTTCAAATCAACAAGCGGGACAAGCGGCTAACTGTTAGCTGGACTAGTTAAACTTTATGAACATGGAGTTTGACGACAGCCTCTTATTGAACCGGACCCACGGTGAGAAGCTGGAGGCAGAACACCGACAGAGGATGACTCTACACTGTCAGCAGTGTAACACCGTGCTGGGAGACTCCCTCGGTGTCTGTGGGGAGGTTAAATTCATGGACTCTATCGTGTGTCTGAGTAAGTTCACTGCAAACTCAGAAAATAATACAAGAGTTGTTTGCCTGTCTTAGATATTAAGATATCTGTTCAGGTTGTTAAATATACCTGTTGTGTGTCTCTGTGGTGTAACGTTAGTAGGTGGACTGGTGATGGGCTAGTTGAGTATAACGTTATGTTGTTTGTAACCCTGCCTGAGGAGCAAATCACCTCATTTATTAAAAAAAAAAAAGTAAAGAAAAATTAATAGTTACTAGTTTATTACAAGTTTGTTTGCAGTTTGAAACTGTGTCTCGGGGTTAGAGCTGCAATGGCGAGTCGGTTAGTCGATCGAAATTAATTTAATCGCCTATTAATTACTGTTTTGATAGTCGATTTTTAACCAACATTTTATCAAACATTTGCTGGTTCCAGCTTCTGAAATGTGACAATTTGCTGCTTTTCTTTGTAATTTATGATGATAATTAAAGAGGTCTTTGGGTTTTGGACTTTTGGTTGGACATTAGAAGTGATTTGAAGACGTCACTTTAGTTGTGGAGGCTTGTGATTACAATTTTCATTTTTATAGACTAAACAATTGATTGATTAATCCTAAAAAATAGTCGTCAGATTACCGTAGAACTTCATTTAATAGCCCGGGTTACTATTTACTTTAATCAGTGGTTCCCAACTGGTGGGTCGTGGTCCCAACAAGGGTCACAGATCCACTCTGAATCGACTGCGAGTGACTTGTAAACATGTCCAGACTGAAAAATGCCACTTTATTTTTAAGTACAGTGAATTTTCTGCACAGAGCTTTCACTTTGAAGTGCTGTTTCTAGGGATGCACCGAATATTCGGTAACCGAATATATTCGGCCGAATATTGCAAAAAAATTCGGTATTCGGTGAAATAAGTGAAAAGCAAGGCCGAATAATAGCGGCATGTTTTGATAACACAATCAAACAGCTTGCGGTGACGGACGGAGTAAAATGTAGGCAGTGTGGTGATATTTTACTCCGTCCGTCACCGCACTCGCATTTGCGACTAAAAACAGTTTTGTGCGAGCAAAATAAATCATTCAGCACGCTGTGTGAGTACAGACTTCAACCAGCAGCAGAAACGAAAGGCGAATCCCGCCGGTTGTGGGTTGAACGGGGGTCACAGACACAGACAGGAATGTATTCCTGTCAAATACGGCGGCCATAGTGCTCCGTGGCGCAAGATAAGGCTTACTGGCGACGGAGAAGTCCGACTCCAATAATATCCTCTTCTTGGTGTCATGACTGCCCAAAAGTACCTGAACAGCCGAGCCATGGCAGCACACAGGTATGTGATGTGTCAGAGCAGAAACGAGCTGTTCACATTTCTCTCTTTGTGGCAGGTAACGGTCCACAAACCTCACCGCACTTTAGGGACTGTTCTTTACTTATGAAGGGACTGTTCTTTAATTGTCAGGGGAGGAGGGTGGCTGGTTGATTTTTTTTTTTGCTGTTTTTGAAGTATGAATAAGTCGATAAGTAATTTATTCCATTGAAATATCATTGCTGTATTATAGAAAAGTGATTTATGTTTTTATAAATGACAAAAGGCACATCTGCCTCATTTTTGCTGTGGTATCATGATACTACTCAGAACCATGATATTTTCACTGGTATCGTACCGTGGGTCCCAATTTTGGTACAGTGACAACACTAATCTGGAGGGGGTTCATCTGCAAAAACGAATGAAAAACTAAACAACGGTATTCGGTACTCGGTATTCAGCCAAGCATTTAATTTTATTCGGCTTCGGCTTTGGCCACAAATTTTCATTTCGGTGCATCCTTAGCTGTTTCCTGTTGAAAAGTGAGAGACTAATGGACAGCTCTCTCTGACGGAGACAGCAAACTAGCTTGACGATGTGGCCAAATGCAAGTATGACGCCAGATGTATTAAACTGTGGACTTTGAACCAATGACCATGGAGAAATCTGGACCCCACTGGCTTAAATCACTGAAATCAACAGGCCTGTATTTGGGACAGGCCTTTAATTCCTTTCACACAAAACTGTTGCTCAGCAAAGATCTGGAAATTCAATCAAAATGTTTATTTAAACCAGTATGAATACTAGTTGTTAAAAAATTAGGTTTCAGATAATACATCAATTATGAGTCATTCATTTGATCTGGCTTCAACAGAGAACACATCGTAGATTGTGTGAGTTACGGCACCCAGCATACCGACACAACACCACTTTATCCTGTTAAAACAATACTCACAACTTGGATTAATTTTTATGAAAAACCCTTTTGATTCTTTTGATCTGTACGGACTAAAGGCATATGAATAACTTACAGGATAATCAAGGAATGGACACATAATTTGAGGTAGCCAACAACCTGGTTTTAAACATCCAAAGAACCTCTATAAAAAAAACGAACAACGAACCGCTTGGCAACCAGAGTAGACAACATAGTTGTAGTCTATCCACTGAGGTAACAGTATAATGTGGTTGAAAACTCTGGGAAAAAAGCTAGTAAGTGGACTCTGAGTTATTATTATTTTTGGTCAAACTGTGGCTTTTTTTTCTTCCAATGGTTTTATGATTTTGTTTCATTATTTCATATGGAAACCTTCTGCATTTCAATCAGTTGTTTTGTTAGATTTACCTTTGCTAATCTATGTCCTGCCATGTTCTTTAATTTTTCATTTGCAAGACGTGCTTCGTCACAATTTGACATTAATCGATACCTTGCTGCGTGTCTCTCTTCAGGAGTAACAGATGATGTGGTCATCAGTGATTCAATGGACACAGGACATAAAGGAGATATGGCTAATTGGTGAGTGAAAAAAACAATGGTATTTTGACTGAAAGGTTTCTGTCTGTGACTCATTTATTTCCACTGGTGTTGTTTTCTTTCAGCATCTACAGCTCTCTAAAATGCCGCGTCTGCTGCTGTTCTGTGGGGAAAGTTATTCATTCAGCCCCGTCGCGTTTGGCCGCGGTTCGCTCCATGTTTCTCTTCTACAAAGCAAACATCAGTTGGTAAGCTCTGCTGCGTCCGTGAGCACACAAACATATTGACTCCTTGTGTACAGGTTTACTGCTGTCTGGAGAGGCTGGAATAAACAAGTGACTTATGAGTGTTGTCCACTGCATGAATTGCTTTTGTAAAGCTCAGGGTTACAGATGAAACACAGCCAAATTCACATTTTGTACACAGCATCTAAGTGACTGGTTCATTTTATGGTATGAAAAGCTTTTAGGCTACATCAATGGATTCTTCAGAAATCCCTTTTTCTATTTGTCTCTGCAGTTACATCCTCAACCGCAGCTCAATGGTGAAAGCATCCACACTCACATTTGATATAAAGCCCCTCAGAGACAACATGAATAAGGTGAGACAACCAAATATAATAGTGTTCTTTCTGACCATTATGTACCTGTCCACTCAACTGTCGTACATCATACTCACATAATAATCTCATAATGAGGGTACGATCTGTTCTGTGGTGACATGATAAGCACTTACTTGAATCTTCCCGAGGAGCTGTTAAAACAGGTGATTAAGTCTGAAGGTTCAGCCTCAGTGTGATGAGTAAATCATTATTCCATTAAATCTTGATCCCTTTGAATCTGTACTTCTAGATGTTCCCTAAATGTGTAAATGTTAAAGTTTGACAAGGGACACAGGATTAAAGGATGCTTGGGCCCAAAACAAATTCCTTTTACTGAATTAAAAATATCTTTGTTTCTTTACGCTACAGGTGAGACAGAAGTTTGAGGCCCAGTTGGATCACATGTCACGCACTAAGAACAGACTGGTCGACAGGAGCGTCACCAGCAAAATGGTCAAGTAGTGTGCACAGGCAATCTCGACTGTACAGAGAGAACTGTGTGTTCTCTAATCTATTCTCCAATCCCTCTTGTAGACTTGTTTGTCTTGTAAGGTTTTTTTTCTGTTTTGTGTTTCCATTAAACATTTTTCGATGATGCAGGCACCGCTCTCCTGGTCTTATTTAATAGCTTTGATCAATCTCTGCAGATGTGTTGTGGACGTCATGGTGCAGTGAAAACACACTGCTCACATTGAATTTTGGGACTGCATTTCCACTAAAATATTTTGGACTGACATGATGAATTTTCTTCAAAGAATACATTGCAGCATAGATCTATCCCCAATTGAGTCAAGAATAAGTTGGGTGCCAGGCAGGAGAATAAACACAATCACTGTCATTTTTACAAAAATATCAGTTTCAAATCATCATTTAATTCTTCAATTAAATCTTCTTCAATTAAGGTTAATAATTTAACAAGATTTCACACACCAATATTCTATTAATAAAATAATAATAATAATAAATTCCAGAGACCAATACTAGTCCAAAATCTGAAATTTAAAAGGTCCTTTAAATAAATCAATCCAATAAAATAAACATTTGTGCCAAAGACTTGTCACCTCTACGCTGTACACAGGGTTACTACGCAAGTGTGGAAAGTATGGAAAAGTATGGAAATAAATTTGATCAATTTCCAGGTATTAAAAAGTATGGAAAATGAAAAATAAAGTATGGAAAAATATTTATGTTTCTAAACTATTATCACTGTTCTAAAATACTGTTTTCTAAAATAGAAAATTAGGTATTTCCAAAAATAATTTAATCAATCCGGATCATGTTTTATGCCGGGCCAAGCACAGTTTGTGTGAGAGCAAACGTCTCAGAAAACATACCGCCCCTTTTACCTGATTGACAAGTGGTATGTCCAGTCCGCTGCCCCATGACCCTCCTCCAGCCCCCCAGGTATCAAGTTTCACTCCAACACTGCACCTTCGACAAGAAGACGAGTTTCACGTGGTTCACAATGGGTAGATGCAAGTTTTTGGATGGATGGCTTGACAATACCGTATATAAATACTGGTTGGCCAAGGATTCCCAATTCACGCACAAAGCTAGATGCAAGCTTTGTGTGAAATCGTTTGACATCGCCAACATGGGGGAGAAGGCGATTCTGAGCCACATGAAAGGAAAAAACACAGACATCTCGTTACTGTATCGCTTGCACCCAGAGTCCCAACATTTTTGCCTCAGCCCAAACATTGAACTTACCGGAGTTTTTATTTGCATGCCATTATGGTACTTGGCTACAATTGCCTATTAAGAATAATTAAATATGATGTGAAATATGATACACTGATATATTTACTCAGATGGTGCATATTCTCTGAAAAACAAAACAAACAAAAAAAAGTCTGTAAGTCTGGAAATTAGGGTATGGAAAAGTATGGAATTTTGAAATTCCAAATGTGTAGGAACCCTGTGTACACCTGCAGAGGAGGAAATGGTGGAAACACAAAGAGGTAGGAGGAATAACACAGCATGACAGTGAGTAAATGAAATGCTACAGATAAACTGTGCAGGAATAATATTTGTGATCGATCTCATTAGGACTACACACACATTTCCCACTTAACGCTTTTAACGCCAGAAATAAAACGATCACAACACTAAAATGCTTAGAAGACTGGAAAAATGCAACAGTGCAGCAGTGATGACTTCACTTCCGCTGGGTGTCCTCACACCTTACAACCAATCACATCTGTTAAAAGAAAGTCTCATACCTAGCAACACCTCCTCACTAAGGATAAAATTTCTGTCTCTCCCTTGCTCAGAGTTGCTGAGAAATTTACTAAATCGCTCCTAAGCTAGGACTCCTTACTGAAATGTTTTTACTGAACACCCTCAGAGAGCTCCTAAATTAGCTCGAAATATTTTAGTAAGGAGTCCTAGCTTAGGAGTGATTTAGGAAAGTTCTCAGAGCAGCTCTGAACAAGGAATGGACAGAAATGTTTACCTTAGTGAGGAGTTGTGGTTGACCTCATTGCTAGGTGTGATGCTTGATTTTAACAGATATGATTGGTTGTCACAGACACGCCCTTTTGTGAGCCAGCAAGGTGTGGACACCCGGTGGAAATGAAGTGAACTGCTGACTGTGAAAGTGTTGTCATTGTTTGTGTGATCACTCTGCTGATGGAAGGTTGAGACAGACTCAACTCATCACTGCTGCATGTTTCCAGTTTTCCAAATATCGTAGTGTTGTGATCATTTTATTTCTGGTGCTATAGCGTTAGGTGGGAAATGTGTGCGTATCCCCAATGAGATCAACCACACATATTATCCCCGCATTCCTTCCTATTATTGATTTACTCACATCCTGTATTTGGAGAATATTTTTCCATCCTCTTCGTCTATCAACCATTGTCTCCTCTGATTAAGAAACTCTTAAGCCTCTTAAAAGTCCCCCTCCCTGCTCTCAACAGTTTTCACTTTAGGAGCTTTTTTAGGGGCTAGGACACTTGGTGAATAACTTATCTTTAAAAAGGACCTAGTCTGAACTTTAAGGGGAAATTCTAAGAATTTCATCACTAGGAGCAACTCTTAGTGTTAAGAAGCTTTGTGAATACGGCCCCTGAACTATTCTTAAAGGCTAAAAATACAGTGGAAAGAATTTTTGAGCCCTGTTGGTGTCGAGGGTCTAAGAATAACAATAAAGTCACTCTATTTTTCATTTAATAATTTCCTCACTTGGGTGTTAGCGAAGCTTTTTGGTCTACTGCAAACATGTGCATTATGTCATTCATTCCATAACAGCACTTAAACAGTAGAAGTAAACATCAACACGCAGCCATCCAATTGGCACCATGCTGCATTTTATTGCTCAATTTCTGATACAGATTCTTTTTTTTTTATCTTTAGTTAATACAAAACCAGACAAGAGGCTCACACGTAATAAGCATGCCCATTTCCTCCCTCTCGAGTGCATAGTTTCTACACAGTCCACCTCCTCAGTGGAAAAGTTGATCAACAAAGTAATGTCATTAATCATTTAACCTAAGCTTTTGTTAATTTTTTTTTAATCATGGGAACAAAGGCTGATCAGTGTTTTTCAGCTGCACTGTGGCCGCACTGTCACGGTCATGTTTGACACAACAGAGTGAGAGCAGGAAACACTTTAAGCTACTCTCTGTTACTTACTTTATTTTTTGGTGCAGTTTCGTCTGTAAAAATCACAAGTGGTGATCGAAGCTACTCCGACATGCTCGCTGTTGTGTCAAACAGCCGTCCCCAGGTTGTCACCTTGTCACAGAACATCTGATATGAACGTTTCAAGAGCCTAATTACACTCATTCACATTACAAAGTTGGATTATTGCATGCAATACAAATCATTCGTTATTCTGCTAAGTCATGCATATTTTTTAAACCCATATATTCATGTTGCTAGACGCCTACTTGCTTATAAATTGTGATTATAAATCCCCACGAAGAGCATTACAGGGTTTTTAGAACACAGTATTCAAGACAGGATGGTGATGATGACAGTGCAAGTCAGTACATAGAGAGAAAGTGCTTTTCAAACAAGTGTCAAGTTCATTCAGTAAGTCCTTTGCAGCCACAGAGTTACTGAAAGTCTAGATTAGGAAGGGGCGGGTTTTTGTGGATGTAAAAATGCTACAAGAATTGTAAAGCATCTCTCATGTACCTATACGTTTATTGTTTTGGTGTTGAATACAAGAATACAAGGCAGGGAAAAATATAACTATTTGCTTTAATTTGTCTGTGTAATACCACGATGCTACTGTTCTCGTGTATACTTTGTTCTACAGGAAGTATCCCAAACCTTCATTAAGTGATACTGTATTCTAAAGCCAAATATTAAGCCACTCCCAAAACAAAAAGTGACTAATAGACAGCTACTGTAAGCATAAAGGAGAGAGGGGAGGAATTCTTTCCACATGACATTACAGACTCCTTTTAACACTTACACCCTGGCACTAAACTCATGCATTATTGTAGGTTATTGCTTCTAAAACTATAATCAAATACAATTTTATGGATTAAAATATCTCGCTCTGAATCCCAAAACTATGAGGTATTATGTACAATACAATGTCATGGTGAGATCTTAATTCTAAGACTAAATCGCTACGTCGGATCCCCACCAATTATACCCAAATCTAAGATTAAAGCGCTACTCTTAAGAGAACGTTTCTCTAAAGGTTTTTATCTTTGTCACAACTGAGACACGTTTTTCAGGAGCTTTTTGGCTGTTGCATAATGACTTCCTAATTCTTTTGCTGCTTGAGAGTGCATGAATGCGATTTAGGCAGCTCAGTCACCAGAGGAAAATGTTGGCATTGTGAGTTTCTGCAGACCACAAAGACATAATATTTGCACGCTTCATATGAACCACATAATTGTTTCTAAAGTGATGTAATATATAAGCCGATGTTACAGAAATGTCACTGACCAATAGTCTATCATTCTTTGAGGGGCAAGACGCAGACGTCCCAGTTTCCTCTGCTGCCTTGTGCTGCATTTATGTGGTGTCAGGATAATTTGTTGTTTCAACATTACAATTTAAAGCTCATGAACAAACTGAAGTCAAAAGAGCGACCATCCAGGTGAACGTGAATGCACCATTGCCCTTGGCTGGTGGAGGTCTTGACTTAAGCATGATTTGATTGCTTCTTGTTCACTCATCATAGCATGTAGTGTGACAACAGCAAGTGGGAAAAGTCAGGGATTCATGAGCACTTGCATGTTTGACAGACTGACTCGTTACATATCAGACACTAAAAAGAGTCATTCAAAAAGATTCATTCGTTCATTTTTGCCCATCACTACAGCAGACCTCTGTTCGAGACCAACATGCACAAAAAAAAAAAAAAAAAAAAAAAAACGGTTGCGTTTTAGCTAGGGAAGCACGATATTGGATTTTTTTGCCGATATCTGATATGCCAATATTTACTTTTGCCGATAACTGATACCGATATCGATATATCCACTTTTTTCCCCACCTAATTTTAGTGATCATCAAGTCTCTTCTGTAGTGGAATTAACATCATATTATACATGCATGCATACTCTTATCATGATGGCCCACCAGCAGATGGAGACATGAAATATAATAGTTTTCAATGTACGTAATATTCATT